ATTTTCATTGTAGTTTTGTTAAGGTTTACAATGACCACTACTAAAAGCTAGTTGCAAAATAGTTGAGATAAGATTGATGAAGTTTATAAATGATTTTATTTGATATTCTCAATTATGTTGATTTATCCTTCATACTTTGGGGTGCATACGTATCGATCTAATCATGGGACTTTAAAAACCTAATAAACACTATTAGGTTGGGTTTCGAAATTCTATAAACCATAAAGATGCAACTATATGGAATATTGCAAATGATTAGACGAGTTCATATCCACTAGACCTTAAGTAATGTGATAAATTTTTTAATAATCCTTCTCCCTTTTTTGTGTTGTCTTATGTATTTCAATGTTCCTTACCAATGACTTAAAATGAATTATTCATGATAAATCTTCTTTTGGTCACATATCTTTGAGTTCATTTAAATGAACAAAGGGTTATTGCACAACATCCAGTACATAAATAACAATTCTTATTAGTTCAGCAATTTTAAAAACCATAGTGATAATAAGGTTCATCAACTAGTGAAATGTTTTTTAGAAAAACCAAAATTATTTATTATTAAAGTTTGTTGAATTTCTCTTTCAAGTATTTCTTCTCTTAATTATCTTATTATTATTTTTTTATTAGAATGGGTGGTGGCACTAGAAGACAACATCTAGCTTAGAAATATAGCATTGAAGTTAAAATAACAGGAGAAAGTGCAATGAAAAGTTAAGCCAACTTGATGTGTAAATTGCGTCCCGCAAATTATTGATCGTGTTAAGAGACTAAAAGATCATTTGCACACATTTAAATGTTGGAGAATGTAGAAAGTGCTAGATAACCTCAAAAAAATGTGTAGAATATTTAAGAAAGTATAGCAGCTCGGAAGAAGTAACTCAAATAAATACAAAGAAAATGATTAGAAGTAGCTTGTGCTGTGATTAATAAGATGGTTCCAATGATGAAAGTTACTTTCTTTCTTTTGATAAAGAAACTCATGAACCATTGGATAAATTTGTTATTAATTTAGATGAAAACGAGAATACTAACTCTTAAGTAATTCCTCCTCCAGCTTCAACAGAAGAACACAAGAACGGAATATGTTGAGATATTGCAAAATGCTTTTACAAGAATGATAAGCATGCAAGTTTTAGTGGTTAATATTGTAAAATTTGATAAAGAATGGATATTACAAAAAATAGATAAAAAAAGTTGATGTTAAAGATGCAGGAATGACCTTTAATAATGATAAGAATGAAGATATCACTGTTAATATTAAAAGGGCAACTGAAATGGGAGTAATTTCCACTTTGCAATCAATTAAAGTAAAGAAGAAAAAAGTGGACGGAGCTTCAAACAAGTTTGAAGGCAATTTAAGTATAATAAATTACTTAGTTTTGTTTTTAATTTGACATTTTGATTTAAATCATATTAAAGCCAAAGTTAACTGATGTCAAGAGTAAGAAGAAAATATAGTAATTGGATAAGAATTTGATAAGCTGATTAGACTCAATCAAATGATGATAGCATTTTACATATGATGACTCTCTTAAAGATGTTGGAAGTGAGAAAGAGGCCACTATGGATCCAAATTCTCTTGGTGTATTTAAATTTAAAGTGAGTGTTTATCTTGAATTTTGTGTCAAACTTTTACTTTTGATTAACATTTAAGATTGATATTTATTTCCTCTTCTTGATATGTGATTTATGATTAAGTACTAATAAAATATGTCGATGGTTTCAGTCATATTCATGATTTTTGTTTTCATTTCAAAACTTATATCTCACCTTGATGAGGCGATACCACTCAGTTCTGACATTCGCCTTGTTAAACCATGGGAATAATGTAAATTCCTTCTAGAGTCTATTAAGACACCTTATTGCGTAGTATGTATAGCATGAATGTCGATAAGCTTGTATATTTTATGAACTATAATTCTTCTAAGGGAAGATAAAAGGAAAAGGAAAGCAAATGTGTACCTACTTTGCACCTAGGATATTATTTGATGAAGAAGATGAAGTTAACAAAGAAGATAATCTAGTGGGGGAAGAAGATGGTGGTGAAGTTCATTTTGCTTATGATGGTGATGCTGATGAAGATGAGGATGGAGATTGAGAACCAGATCTCTAGTCAGCCTGTATCTTTGTAAATTTGCAACTTGATATTTCTCTATTTTGGATGAATTGCATCCCATTTGATATTTTCAAAACTTGCTAGGTGATTATGAGGGTCATTTAATCTAATGTGATGAATGATGTGCATTTTATGTTATATGCTTTCTTAACTCTTAAATTTTTGTACACTCTTCATTTTTATGTGATTATTACACCAACTTTAAAATAGTGTGCACCACATCGTGGGTCATGCACTATGGCTCTAAGGAGCAAATGCCATGATACACCACTCATTATTGACAACTAAGAGCATGAGCTCTACTAAGTTATTACTAGCCAAAATAAGCCACTTCTTCATCCTCGTACTTGTTCATTTCATCAAGTCAAATCTGGTTGAAATACCTTACCTCCACCTCCTGGAAACAATTTCTACACAAACACGCGAATTATATATATAATGTATTTTATAGAAGTAATAAGTATATTTTGTTAATCATATCAATTTGGATCGCATAATCATCATCATCATTAACATTATCCCAACTAATTGGCATCGGTTTTATGAATTATCATTTTCCATTAATTCAACTTTTAACAGGGCACAATGAAGAAAATTGATTCATGTAGCCAACCTCATATAGTGGGATAAAAGATTGATGCTACTGTTGTTGTATTGTTTGATATGTTAAATCTATTCTTCACAAACTATGATGAATAACTTCTATCTATGCTACATTATGTCTACCCTCTTGCCTTGCTTATCCTCCAACACCAATTTTATCTAAACTTCTATAAGCGCATTCTCTAGCCTTCATAAAAAATGTTCAATCCACTAAAGTCTATTTTCAACCATCAAATCTTAATACATGAAATAATTTTAGGCTCATCCAATAGCCAGTTTCAAATAGTTCAAATTGAGCCATAATTATGTGAACTGCCATCCAAAGTCAAATCTATCATAGCTTGACTAAAAAAATTCAATTCTATGTGGAAGGTGAAAAAAATAAAAAGAACATGGTCATAAAAACTTATTATGAACAAGAAATGAAAATAGACATAATAGTTGGAAGAACTTGTAGATTAAGACATCTTAAGTTTCCATCAAAGAAAGTTAGCAGTATATAAGCCATAAACCCTAAATCAATATTTATAAAAGGTCAAATGTAGTACTAGAATAATTGGGCATCAAACAAAATCTAAAATGGACTGGAAATAATTAATTTAATCACAAGTTCTGAGAGGTAGATAACTAACACATGAAAATTAGAATTAACACCAAAGTAGTTGGCGGGGACATCAGATCAGCGTGGAAGGTTTATCAGAGACGTGGCCGCCGATCTACGGCCACGATCGAGTCCTTGTATTTCTGAGTCATGATTGTATTTTATTTTTATTCATGCAATTTCTTATTTGCTTAGGTGTCATTATTATTTCCCTTTGTACCCCTCTCATGGGAGTTGTCGCATGTAAGCCCAAAGGGTATTTGAGTGTTTATTTCTTTGAGTCCATTGTACGTGGCTATATATAGCCCTTTGATTATTATTTCATGATTAATGAATGATTAACAAAATTATCCGCCAATTGTCTTCTTGCATAAGCTCTTGTGAGAGTTTGAGTATTTGATGGAGAGAGGTCACTAGGAGAGGGAAGCTTGCGTATTACCCACCAACCTTGGATAAGGCCGGGTTTGTGATTTTCTCTTTGTATTTTCATCCTCCTCGCCACCTTCTCTCATTCGTCTTCTTCACGTCCAATTGTAGCAATTCACTTTGGAAGGAATTGTCCAAGCCTCTCTGCTGCTGGCCGAACTCCCTCTTGCCCCTTGTCTTATTCTTTTTTTTCTTTGTTTTCTCCAAACTCCTCTTTCACAGAAACCTGAAACTTATTTCAGGTTTGGGTTTTGGGCTCTCTCACCAACAAAATTATCAGAGAAACTTCTTCTCTTCGATTATTCTCTAGAGCATCACCAAGTGTGAGGAGTTTTAACCACTGAGCACCCATGAATGGCGGATCCCGAAACTGAATATGGCATCACGTGGGACGACGACGGCTTCACTGACATCCTACGATCCACCTTCTTCGATGTGAATCCGGAGATTGACCACACCGTCGAAGACTACGTGGAGCGCATCCTATTTGCATTGACGGAAGCCATTGACGAACACTTTGAAGTTCTCGAGTGGAGGATCTCCACGTCTCCCTAGTAAAGGATTCTCTTTCCCCTGCCACTTATTTCTTTAAATCTGAATTCTCATTGGTTTTATTACAGTCACGGAGGGCTCTTCCACTGCTCTTGCTCAAAGCTTAGTAATCATAGGAACTGAGCGTACTTTCTATGCATCCTAATTCTCGTTGTTAAATTAGGGATTAATTTGAAGCCTACTAGTTTGTGTTGTTTGATTTTCTTATTTACTTTGAAAGCTTCAAAACTCAGAGCATGTGATTTCGCCTAAGCAAAATATCTCCTTATTTGTTTTGAATCTTCGTTGAGAATTGCTAGTAATTTTATTCAAAAATTATTCTAATCTAAGAGTTGTGCAATGCCTAAATGAATCCATAAGCATCTCATCTAAGTGGTCCTGCATCAGTAGTGCTTGACTCTAACACACAGTGAATATTTGGTTAAAATCTTATAATTGATGGAGATGAAACCCATAAGACTGGCGAAATAAAACCCTTCTTTTTTTAGCAACAAAAAATAGTTGTGTAAGTTTGCCAAAGGAAAAGATCCAAAAAAGCCCAAAATACAATTAAGAACATCACCTTCAAGGGCCCAAAGTCTCAATGATGAACACTTTCCACAGAACATTAAAAAGAATCGTTGATCAGAAACCTTGGAGCAAGTTTAGAATAGAATTCTAACATAATAAACTTCTGCCCTACGAAATAGAAAAACATCTAACCATATTAAACTGCTGGTGATTTTCCTATACAAGGAAGAAGGTTGACCAATAGGCCCACAAACCATACTACTCCATTAAACAACTATAACAAACTTGATCGCCATCTGCACCAAATAGCTGATGGAGCAGTAATTTAGTATTCAAACCGGATCAATACATTATTCAATCGCATTTAAAACAAAAGATCACTGCATCTAGGTATATCTACGCAGCAAGGAAACCAGGTACAGCCCTAATTAACAGGGAAGACCATAACCCTAAGGGGGTGTTTGATATCGGATTTATTTCCCGTTTTAAGTAGGATTTACGGTAAATCCAGCCAAACGCAAATGGCTCTGTAAATCCGACAAATCCGTAAATCCTTGTAAATCCAAATCCCGTTTCTACTCGGATTTACTGGATTTGGCCGAAGAAGCGCGCGAAAGGGAGAAAGATACCTTCACAACGAGCGACCGAGCTCCCGTCGTTGCTTCAGATCAAAATGTTGTAACGTCCGATCCGACAGGAAGGGAACGTCGTCGAAGGAGCGAAGTCGAACAGCAACGAAGTAGCGAAGTCGAACAGCAACGAAGGAGCCGAAGAAGCGACTCGTGCAATCTCAACACCTCCTGCGAAGCAACGAAAGAGAAAGAAATGTTTACAGGGTTAAGCGTGTTATGCTCCTTGAAGCTCTCTTCCAAAACGGCCGACTGCTCCTTAGATAACTGCAGCTTCTTCTTCGCGCCCTCACCATCCTCCTCGTCACTCCCACCACGCGAACACTCCTGTTCCACTTCAACCACCTCGCCGCCGCCGACGAAAACCCCGGCGACCCCAAACCCACCCTCTCTTCCCAGCGGCGCTCGACTTTCAAGCAACGAAGCCGAACAGCAAGGACGGACAAAGAGAAGTTTAAAAGCAAACTCTAGACGCCTCAACCATTATTGGTTAACTGAATTTAAAATATTAATAACTAAGTAAATTAATTAAATAATTAAGAGAGTAATTAGTGTATAAATTAATTATCTAATTTAACTTAATTAAATAGTTAGTAATATAATTAGTAATTAAATAGTTAGTAATATAATTAGTAATTAAATAGTTAGTAATATAATTAGTAATTAAATAGTTAGTAATATAATTAGTAATTAAATAGTTAGTAATATAATTAGTAATTAAATAGTTAGTAATATAATTAGTAATTAAAATAATTATTATATAATATGTGATAAAGAACAAATAAATTTATAATTTGATGCGGAAGCGAATTAAGTGGCTTCATATTACTCCTTCAATTTTAAATCTCAAACTGTTTTAAATCCTATAATCTGTTGGCAAACAACTTTTTTGGATTTGACAATATTTGAAAGTTGTTATTCCAAACACAATTCAGGATTTATGAGCCTAGGACTTACTAAATCTGGATTTGCAGGATTTAGTAAAAGATGAGGACGTCAGATTTCAACACGTGTACCATCGTCGGAGATGCAGGTCGACGGCTATGGTCCAAACACAATTCAGGATTTATGAGCCTAGGACTTACTAAATCCGGATTTGCAGGATTTAGTAAAAGATGAGGACATCAGATTTCGACACGTGTACCATCGTCGGAGATGCAGGTCGACGGCTATGATCCATAGCCTTTATTTCTGATTTATTTTGTATTTTATTTATTCTCGCATTTTTCTTTTCCTAGTTTACCCCTATGGGTATTGAGTTGCTATTATAGCCCTGAGGGCATTTATGTCTTTCTAGCTTTGTTTTATCGTGGCCTATTTAAAGGAGGCCCCATGCATTGTACTAGATGATGAATTGTTAAATGAAATTTTATGTTATTCGTTTTGATTTCTAAGTGAGTTCATGAGAGGAGAAACCCGAGGAGGGTGATTTGCAATACCCGACAGTAGCCGGTGGATTCCGAGCTCTCGCTTAGTCTTTTGAGTTATCTATTTTTCCTACACGTCTTTCTCCTCACTACCGCCAATATTCCCCTTAATTTTCCCATACCCGATCTCCTCTCCAAAGCCCATCCCGCCGACACCCAGGGCCTCCCTAGCTGCCGGCCTCCTTTCCCAACTGGCAGCCACCACCCATCCCGCTGCCCCTCTTCCCCAAGTTCCAAACCTGCCGGCCCCCCTTTGGCTCTATTTTGAATTTCAAATTCAAAAGGGGAGTTACTACCTTCCTAAAATGAGCTCAACACATTTAGGAAAGTTTCCTATTTGGATTTCAATCAAATTTTGAAATTCAAATACTTTCCAAAGGCTTGGAATTAATTTAGGAAACTTGCCTATTGAATAAAATCTTAAACATATTTCAGATTTGATCTAGATCCAATAATAAACCATTGCGGCCCACCTAATTAAAACAAAATCTCCCTCTCCCCACTCTATATGGCCGGCCCCCTTTAGCCTCTCCCTCTCTATCCAATTAGCATTTAATTCCCCCCCCCCCCCCTTCTCCTCCAAAAATTAATATGCATTCGAATTAGAATCTCATGATTAGAAAAAATATTGTCTGATAATTAAATGACACTCATATTTAGAATTGATTTTCTGATCAAATTTAAATGAGGATAAATTTTAAAATTATTAAATTTTAATATTAATTCTATTAATTTAAATTGTGATTAACATAACAAAAACTTCTCAATTAATTATTACTCAGTACTTTACTGATTTATTCATATTAATTATTAATATTACAAGCTCAATTTGATATGTTGGTTGGGAGCTTAGTCTACAAACTAAGAGGTCTTGGGTTTCAATCCTGTATATGTAATGTGTGTATGAGTCTAGCTTAATTGTCCTAAATGTCCAAAAAAAATAAAATATATGAAATAATTATAATCTTTATTATTTAACTAATTTATTTAATTGTTAATATTTTAAATTATATTAACTAAGTTTAACCTTAGGGACGTCTAGGGTTTGATTTTCTTCTAATTTTCTCGTCGTTGCTGTTTGGGTTTAGCTTCCTTGCTTCGCAGGAGGTGTAAGATTGCACGAGTTGCTTCTTCGGCTCCTTTGTTTTTGTTCGACTTCGCTCCCTCGACGACACGACGTTCCCTTTTCCTGTCGGATCGGAAGTTTACGACATTTTGATCGGAAGTAAGGACGGGAGCTCGCTTGCTGTAAAGGTAACTTTCTCCCTTTCGCGCGCTTCTTTGGCCAAATCCCGTAAATCCGCCGAACAGCAGGATTTAGTAAATCCGGGATTTAGGTAAATCCCGTTTGGCAGCACTTTACGCTAAATCCTGCTCAATTCCAGGCCTAAATCCTGTTGCCAAACAGCTCCATAGAATTTTATAAATCTGGGTTTTGTTAGGAATTAGGACGAAGCGGAGCTCAAGCGCAATTCAATACATGCTTTGTAATTATTTTGCTATTTGGGATCGTTTGGTAGGATTTACGAAGTCCTGCTTAAATCCTGTGTAAATTAGGCTAACCGTGCTGACAAGAAGGGTTCGTGCCTTATTTCTCTTTCTTCACTTGCCCCTTTTTCCTTCAACCCCGCTCTTCCCTTCTTCGCTTAGAGGACGATTGTCGGCATTATTCTTGCCGGAGGATGGTCCTGTGTCTGCCTTACTCATTCCCTCCACTTCCTCTAACATTAGGTTTGGAAATTGTAACTCAACCATGGCCTTTCCGGATGTTTTAATATACAAATGAGCTTGAAATTCCATCTGTCAGCCAGACCGATATTGATAGGATGAAGAATCAACTATCAAAACATTTTGAGATGAAGGAGTTGGTCGAAGTTCACAAAATCATTGTCATAGAGATTCTGAGGGACAAGGTAGACGGAAAGGTTTGGCTTTCACAAGAAGCTTATGTTCGGAAGGTACTGAAAAACTTTGGGATTGATGAATCAAGCAAGACAGTGAGTACCCATTGCATCTCACATACAGTCGAGTTTAGAACAATGCCCTAAGGATGATCAAGAGAGAGAGCTATTGCATTCCCTATTTTTCTCCAATTTAGTGAAATCATCTCCTCCCTGTGGATGTAGGCACCTTTGTTAATCCACGTAAATCGCTGTGTTCTTTGTGATTTATTGTGTTGTGTGATTTAATTTTGATTTCGCTGTGTTTATTGCACAACAAAAGGTTCGTGCCTTTGCCCCATTTTCCTTCAACCCCGCTATTCCCTTATCCGTCCTTAGAGGACGATTGTCGGCAGTATTCTTGTCAGAGGGTGGTCCTGTGTCTACCTATATCTTTCCCTCCTCTTCCTCTAACATTAGGTTTGGAAATCGTAACTCAAACCATAGTTTTTTCAAGTTGTTTTAATATACAAATGAGCTTGGGATTCCCAACGTTTTGTTAGTTCATAAATGACATAAGCTGAAGTATTTAGGTGCAAATGATGATCCTCATATGTCAGAATGAATGAGAGAAAAATAAAAAATGGTTTTTGTATTGCTCATTGAAAAATTGATACACTAGCGTTTTGCTATTTTATGAACATCACAATGAAATTCTTCCATTTTGATTTTTTTTTAATGGAAGAAACATGTTGAGAATAATAAATGACGGTTGACTGAGACTTAGGTTTTAGAGTTTGCTTTTTATATTAAATTTAAGGGTTCATGAGAGAAAATTTAATATTGAAGGTTGCGTGGAGTTGTCTTGCTCATTGGATTCATTAAGGTGGTAGAGATCCTTTTATTTAGCAAGTCCATTAATTTTCCCTATGCATTGTTATTGCAAGATACAATATGAAGGATAAAACATAATTTTATATTTTGATTCTTTAGTCATCTTTTGAATTTTAATGAAAATTTAAGCATATGGAGGATATTTTTAAGTGCTTGGGATTTTTTTATAAGAAGTTATTGTTGACTAACTATAGTTGTCAAGGATCCGTTGGCCATGATTATTTTCTTATTGCTTGGAAAAGTAGTATACTAAATACAATTTTTAAAGTAACTAATCACATGATCTGTAGCTGCTGAATCAATAATCTAGAAGCTAGAAATTGACATCTCTCTAAGTCTTTAATGACATAATAAGATGAGGTAATACTTGTGAATGCTAGAGTACAAGTAAGCACTGTAGATGGTTTTTTAGGTGTTCCGAGCAAGTTTTTTTATGTGCCTTTTAAATGGTCCAATTTTATTCTGTCCCTTTAAGAACCCGCAAACTATTCATGACCACTTCAAATACTTATTTTCATTCAATTGACATATTGAATGGATATTTTTAACTCCTTTTGGATTTCTATTGCATACCTAAATTCCAAATGAACCCAGGACCAAGGGTATCCAGGCATTATTTTTGTTGTTGTTGCTTGTAGAGAGGAAAACTGTGGTTTTATTCATAGGAAAAAAAAGAAAAGGAAAGAAATGTGCAATATAGTGATGAAGGTTTTAACGATGGGAGCATTTTGTGGTAATGCACCGATGAAGGTTGGGACAATGAGAAGTATTTCCAGTAATACATCGATGAAAATTGCCATTACAAAAAAAATAGAATAAGCAAGATAGTGCATCAGTGAAGTTCATGGGTTCATGGTGATGTATCGATGCAGGTTGTAGCAATGGAAATATAAAGAAGTAAAAATGCTTTTGGCTTTAATACAATCCCAGTAATTTGAGGATAGTTTAGTGTAATTCATTTCAATATGTAAATAATTTTTGCAATCCTAAGAAAGTTTTTAATAGAAAAATTTGAAATTTGGGGAATATAAATAATTAAAAAATAATTAAAATAGTTCACTGATGGATGAGTAACCAGTAAGGATCCCATGGATCAATGAGCTGGCAGTGGAAGATGAAGGAATGAGGGCTATAGTTTTGTGAGTGTGGGTCTTTGTTGGTGTGAATTATTCAGATGTTTCACAATAATTTCAAACTTTCATTATGGCTAGCAATGTTATTACTATATCCTATATTGAGTTAAGACATATGACTTGGGAATGGTGCCATAGAATTTGATGAGTGCAATGGTGATGCAATGAAAGCCAACTGTCTAATGGTTTGGAATAGTTTCAAATGAAGGCTGAATTTTCATCTTGTTGGTAGAATTATTCTAACAATTTTTGTATGAATTCAGTGTCTATTTTCCTATAATATCTTTTTCAAGGCTGAGTACACTAAATATTTGTGGGCTTGGTTAATTTTTTTTCCTCCAGAACAACTGTGACCATTTTTAGTTGCAGTAAGGTATGGTTAATTATTCTTGCAGCTCAATGAAATACTCATAATTCATAGAGCCGTGCAATAAAGGAGAAAACTGAAAAATCTAGTTCGTAACAATGGTGTGTGTTAGATTAGGACTGGCCCAAGGACGGCCGGCTGAACCAACTCAGGGGCTGGTTTACTCTAGATGGGAAAAGCAATCTGTCGGCCCCCTTGTGGGACCCATTATTTGAAGAGGAGGGGGCAGCTTAGGCAGGTTTTAATTTATAGATGGGTTGTTTAGTAATTGGGATTATTTTTGTATGCTTTAAATATATAGGATGGATTAGGATTAGGGTTAGGGTTATCTGGTTATTGGCTGAATTCTGTTTTGGTGCTTTGGTTTTCTTGGGCTCTAGCGGCGTCCACATATTTGGGAGAGATAGATCATCCTCTCGAAAATAATATCGATTGTATCTTGTTATTTGCTTCTCTATTTTATCTATTACTATGTTGCTCTTGCTTTTCCTCTTGGATTCTTTTGAAATTTGTGGTGGGAAATCATTGATAGGCCTCTCTTGAATTCTAGAAGTGTTTCCTATCAAATTGTTATCAGAGCACTTTTTGGGACCCATGGTGGGATTGGGGGCAGTGCTTATGTATAATCATAGACTCATAGCCTATTTTAGTCCAGTATTGACTGCCAGGGCTAGACTGATGTTAGTTTATGAGAGGGAGTTGATGACCATTGTATTAGCCATTCAGAAGTGACGGCCTTAGTTATTGGGTCGAAATTTCATTGTCCGGACGGACAAGAGGAGCTTGAAGTATTTGTTGGAGCAGAGAATGGTGACCGAGGAGCATCAGAGATGGCTGTAAAAGTTGTTGGGATATGATTTTAAGATCTAGTATAGACCCGGGTTAGAGAATAAGGCAGTGGATGTTTTGTTTAGATGTGTGGGAGAGCTCTAGGAGTTAGCCATATTAATACTCCTGATGATGGATTGGTGGGCCATTAAAGAGGAGGAGAGTTTTCGGGATGAGGAGCTAGATATTGAAGAATGAGGGTAGCCACCCTGTCTATTCTCTGAAGGAGAAGAGACTGTTGTACTATGGGAGATTTGTGATGCCTTGGACATTGGTTTATATTTATCACCTATTACAAAAATTCCACGGGAGTGCAGTCGGGAGTCAGTCTGGCGTGCAGAAGACATATAAGAGATTGACAACAAATGTGTATTAGAAGGGGATGCATAAGAATGTGGAGGAGATGGTGGTTAAGTGTGAGATATGCTAGAGAAGCAAGTACATTGCTATGACTCTCGGGGGATTACTTCAACCTCTGGCTCTTCTAGATAGAGAGTGGGAGGAGATCATCATGGATTTCATAGATGGACTACCCCAATCTGAGAGGTTTACAATGATTTTTGTGGTGGTTGACAGGTTGAGCAAGTATGCTCACTTCATTCCTTTATGACATCACTACACGACAGTGATAGTAGCAACAACATTCATCAGAGAAGTGGTTAGAAAACTTAGACTTAAACTGTATGGGATCTTAGAGTCGATAGTTTCTGACCGGGACAAGGTGTTCCTCTGTTAGTTCTTGAAAGAGTTGTTTAGGCTGTAGGGAACAGTTCTAAAGAGAAGCACTGCTTACCACCCTCAGGCAGACGGGCAAATAAAACTGATAAACAGGATTCTGGAGACTTACTTGAGGTGTTTTGCATCAGAGACACCTCGGTTGTGGGCCAAATGGCTAGCATGGGCGGAGTACTTGTATAACACTTCATATTACTTAGCTTCCCAGATGATCCCTTTCAAAGTGTTGTACGAAAAAGACCCCCACACTTAGTGTATTTTGGGCATAGGAGCACACTAGTCTCTTCAGTAGAGCAATACTTGGGAGGAAAGAGATAGGGTGATGGAGGAATTGAAAAGGCACATGTTGAGGGCACAATAGATTATGAAGAAGCAGGCGGATGGATACAAGAATGACATCCAATTCAAAGTCTTAAA